TGCGGGCGCGCCGGCTGGCCCCCTGCATGCAAGGGGCCTCTCCAAAGCAAAACCTGAGCGTGGTCCAAGCTGCCCTGACTCTGCTGTGAGCGTTGGGGCGTCCGCGTCCCCAGGACACGGGGGGTGGGTGATGCGACCCAGGTACTGGCACGGCTTGCTCAGAGAAGAGTTTTGGGATGAGGGGAGGAGAGGGGTTCTCCCCTAACCAGGGTGGGCACGCAGCTCCTGGGCTCTGAGGTCAGCCCTGTTGGCAGCACAACCCCCATCCTGGCCGGTCTCAGTCCCTGTCTGCACCCTCGGGGCCGTCCCAGCGCCGCGTTCACCACAACCCGTGGCTGTTGTGTGCTGGGGGACCCTGACCCCTCTCCTCTCCTGGCAGCGAGAAGCCCCCTGCGTACCAGCGGTTCCACAACCTCGCCCAGGACCTGCCCCCAGGGCTCACGCTGCCCTACAAGTTCAAGGTGCTGGCAGAGATGTTCCGCAGCATGGACACCATCGCCGGGATGCTCTTCAACCGCGCCGAGACCATCACCTTCGCGAAGGTCAAGCAGGGGGTGCAGGACATGATGCGCAAGTGAGTTGGCAGCGGCGGGCAGCCCATTTTGGGGTCCCAGCTGAAGCTGTCGGGGCCTAGGTGCTGGTGTCAGCCTGCGGGGTTCCCGACCTCTCCGGGTTCTGTTGCAGGCAGTTTGAGGAGCAGCACGTGGGGCAGATCAAGGCCGTATACCCCAGCTCGTACAGGCTGCGCCAGGAGAAGAACATCCCCACCTTCGGCAACAGTGTGAAGAAGTCTGACTACCAGCTCACGCTGGAGCCGGTGCTGGAGGAAGGTACGTACAGCTTGGGGAGGGGGGGCCCAAGAGCTGGGGTGCGCTCGGTCCTGGCTGGGATCCCTGAGTCCCCAGGGATGCTCTCCACTCGGTCCATTAGGGAATCGCCTGACGCTTAAGGGCCTGAGCGCATTGGGAAGTGGAAAACACTTTTGGGATGAGTGGGAGGAGGACAGGGCAGCGCCTCAGCCCCACGGCGGGGCTCTGGTCCTGTCCTTCCCGAGGCTCTCGAGGGTTGGGCCCGGTCGTGGCGGTGCTGTGGGTGACACTTGGTGTCCCTCTCCACAGAGGAGAAGGTGGATGGCCGCCCGCACTTGTCGGCGTCGCGCTTGCTGGAGCGCAGGAAGGAATTCAACCGCAACCTGGTGAACATTGTCAAGCAGCACCACAAGGTGAGGTGTCCCCACTCCCTGGCACCCTCTGGTTTTGGGGTGTGGGGTTGCTCTGGTTGCTATCGAGAGGAGCCGAAGGAGCAGGCTGACATCCAGGCTGAAGGCCGTGGCCGGTTCCTGTGGGATGCTCTTGGCAGGCTTGTGTGGGTGGCGAGGATGGCAGCTGGAATGTCTCCTGGCTCTGAATTTCCTCCAAGCCAGCTGCCACACGTTGCCAAACCGTGCCAGGAGCATGGGGGTGGTGGCCAGCTCCCCTGTACCCGGCCCACAGGTGCCGTGACACAGCTCTCTCCCCTCTCCAGGCGTTCCTGGCTGCTCTCAGCCCTCCCATGGTGGTGCCAGAGGACAGGCTGACCCGCTGGCATCCCCGCTTCAATGTGGATGAGGTGCCGGACATCAGCCCGGCGGAGCTGCCGCGGCCGCCCCAGGAGGACAGGCTCACCACGGCCCAGGAGGTGCTGAGCACGGCTCGGGGGATGCTGAGCCCCAAGGTGAGTTGGGACCAGAATCTGGCTCTGTCTGTGGCTGGCAGACCTCAAACCAGGCGTTTCTCCGGGAAGATGTTACTGGATAGGCATCAGGAAGGATCATTTCAGAGCCGCGGGATGCAGAGCACTGCAAGATGAAGGCAGGCGGGAACGCAGGCCTGGCTGGTAGGGCTGCAGGTTGTGGTGTAGGACTGGTCTTGGGCTAGAGGAGCCGTCAGTACTGACTTTGGGGCTGGGAGGGGAGATGGAGCATCCCAAGCTGTCCTCTGTGCTGGCAGGGATGGGTCAGATGTGCTGGGCTGCAGGGTGGCGGAGGGGAAACTTCTTCCAGTGTGAGCGGCTCCCAGCTGTAACCCAACTCCTCCTCCTTCTTCCATATGAGCAGATGGAAAAAGCTCTTGCCAACCTGGCCTTAAGAACCGCTGAAGCCAGTGCGGGGGAACCGGTGGTTTCCAAAGCATCGTCCCCTGCCAGCACCTCCAGTGCTCTCAAAGGGGTGTCCCAGGCTCTGCTCGAGAGGGTGAGTAATTCGGTCCTGGCTGTAACGCCGGTTCTGGGGGGACCTGCCTGTGTCTCACCCCATCTTCTCTGTTCCCCAAGATCCGGGCGAAGGAGGCGCAGAAGCTGCAGGCGCTGATGACGCGGGACCCGCGGCAGGAGGAGCGGCTCGCCATGCTGGGGCGGCTGCCGGCCATGGCCCGCACCCTGCGCAACATCTTCGTGGCCGAGAAGAAGCAGGCGCTGACCATGGAGGTGGCTTGTGCCCGCATGGCCGAGAGCTACGACACGCAGATGCCTCCCGGTAGGGAAGCGGGGGGAGCCCCCTCGCTGGCGTGGGAGGAAGGGCTTGGGGAGCTGAGCTCTGACCCAGCGCTGCCGCTCCTCCTTTTCGCAGGCGAGATGGAGAAACACTTGCGCCTCTTCGCGGAGCTGCTCCCCGACTGGGTGGGGATCCACGCCATCAGGACGGACACCTACATCAAACTGGACAAAGGGAAGGAGCTCGGCCTCGTGATGGAGAGGCTCAGCAAGGCGGCAAAGGAGGCAGAGGCTCTGTGAGCCCCCCAAGGGTCGAGGCTTGCCCCGTGCAATCTCTAAATGTAGCAAATCCCGACTGTTCTCTGGGGTCTGGCGTCGGCTGACGGGAGGCTCACCCTCAGCGGTGTCTGAAGAAGAGCAAAACGCCTTAATTTAATTCCTCTGCTGGGGTCCGTGATGATCGTAGCTCCCCTGACCCTCGAGCTGAAGGCAGGCGGTCCTGCATCCTGGGGTGACGATGCACAAGCGGTGAAGAGGAGCTCGAAACCTCTCCTCGGCTTCGCTGCGTTCTCCTGAAGGTTTGATGCAGGAGGTTTCTTCCGTTAACTGGGCCCTGGTGGGGTGGAGGCAGGATGGGGCAGGGTGAGGGTGACAGGCAGGAATGAGTGAGAGAAGAAGTCACAAACTGATGTTTTTGGAGCTCTGGGCCTTGTTCTGTTTTTAAGGGAGGGAAAAACGCATCTCCAGCACTCGCTGGAAACAACTACAGGACTTGTCAAAACATCTTTGTATTAAATGTTTTAAATATAGCTGACTTGAGTTAACCCAGCGCTCTTCCTCCGTGAGCTGCCTGTCTGCGCCGCGTTAGCCCCGTGGTTCTCCATGGCAATTGGCGTCGGCCGGCACACGCAGGGAAGGGCTGGGTCGTCATCCAGCTCCTGGAGAAAGACTTACTGGAAAAAGTGAGCGTGGGTTTGCAGGGAACTGAATGCAGCTTTTGTAAATAGGGAACTGCGGAGCGGCTCCCGTGGGGACGGGAGCAGGCAGGGCTGGAGGTGGGCAGGGAGGGGGGGGTGCTCTTTCCCAGGGGAAAGCCCTCAGTCACTTGGCTGAAGCGGTTTGGGAAGAGGACAAAGAGGGTGCTGATGGCTGCAGAGGTGCCAGCCTGGCCCGGCGCCTGGGTCTGGTCAGTGCTCACAGCAGGATGGGCAGCGTTGGGCCCAGGGGAGGAGGTGGGAGCTGCCCCTGCCCCGTGCCATATCAGGCACACCTCACACTGCTTTCTGGGCCAAACTGGGCTGGTTTTAGCACCAGATATCAAGGACTGGTGTGGAAAGGTGACTGTCCTTCATCGCTTTGGGTGAGGGACCATGCTGGTCTGGGGAAGCTTCCCCACCAGCTCTCAGGGGCTGGCAGTGATCGAGGGAGCAGGGAAGCCCTCCTCTGGGACCCTGTTTGCCAGTTGTGTGGGCCAGTTGGCTGGCACTGCTGGTGGGAGGTAGCCCTGTTTCCAGGGAGGAGGGTTCAAATGCAACCTGGAAGGAGGGATGCACGGGGCTGGGGTGCGAGGCTGGGCTGAATGGAGCTCACCGCAGTGGAGAGGGACTGGTTCCGAGAGGGGCCGGTTCCGGCAGCCTGGCAGGCACACGTGTGTCCCTGGGGAGCTCGCAGCCAGCTCCTGTTCTGCTGCCTGGGACAAAACCCTCCTGCCTGGAAGCCACCCCTGCACAGCCTTGTCTCTATGAGCAATTACATCAATGGTTGCTCGCAGCCCGGCCAACGTGAAGGCATCGTCCCCAGGTTCCCTGATGTCACCGCTTGGCCCTGCACACAGCCAGCTCTGGCACCAGCAGGGCTTAACATTTGCTTCCACAGCACGCAGCTGCTTTCCACGGCTCTTTGGGGTGGAACTGATTTTTCCCTTCTCTACCTCACAGCAGGGACCCTCTCCTCGTGCCAAGTATGCGTGCAAGGCACTGCCTCCCTTGGCTCCAGCCAGGGGCTGGCTGTGAAAACAAGTGCCCTGGGGTAGGTTTCTCCCAGGGGAATGGTGTTTCTCAGCGCAAACCGAACAGCCACTGAAGTGGCTTTTCAGGAAATGGCGATAAAAATAGCCCTAAGAGCCTTTACGAGTGTAAGGGCAGGGCGTGCAGCATCCCCACGCGCAGGGTGGGGAAGGTGAGCGGAGCTGTGGAGGTTTGGTCTACGCTCCCACTGCAACCCAGCAGGACCAGCCTGGGTATGTCCCCCCCTCCAGCCAGAGGTTGATCCAAGCACGGAGAAAAGCTACCTGAACTGCTCGGTCCTGGCAAGCAACTCCTTCTGAGGATTTGGGGTGAAGGGGGGCTCATGCCATAGCCTTGCTCTCCATGGACAGCCTGGGTTTGGAGGAAGACACTCGCAAGGGTAATCAACATCTTCGGCTATGGCAAGAACAGCTCTGAGACAGTTTAGAAAAAATAAGTCAAAATTTATTTTGCCAGTCAGTTCAGCCCCTGCTAGGACAGGGACGTAGTCCTTAACACTTTCAGGCATGTGAAAGTTTTGGCACCCCAGGGTTTTAGGTACTCCTGTGACCAAACTGCGAGCCATGCTACAGGGAGCACCTCCGAACCCCACTTCATCCGTCACACAACCTGAGGGAGGCTGCCGGAGCTCAGCTGCAAACATAACCCCTTTTCTTTCTTTCCTGGGGCCTTCTCTGACACCAAACATACCAACAAGAACTGGCTCCAAACCAGCGTTGCCCTTTCAACATCTGGATGCCCCAAGACCACCACCAAGGGGAGTCAGATACATTGCAGTAGCGGGGGAATTAGTGCTAAATGAAAGGTGCCAGCCTGCCTGGAGCTGCAGGCTTTGCTAGGTGCCAGTCCTGCTGGACACAGAGCAGGCAACAGCCCTGAGCACCGCACAGCCCCCTTCCTCACCACCGGTCACCCGGCCGTGTGCTGCTGCTCATGATGTAGATTGCTCCTAGTTTTCCAAAATCCACTGCTAAGAATCACCCTGGACCAAGAGAAGGCAGGCGGCTTCCTACAAGAGAGACCTTCAGCTTCCTGCGGTCTCAAGGAGACCACGAGCCAAGCATCGAGCCGACATCACATTTGAGCTCATCTAGGCCAGCAACCTCTGTTGTGTCGGCAGTCGCTGCCTCCTGATGTCAGGCACTTACTTAATTCTCCTTAACGAGCACTACCTTAATGTAAGAGCAGCCCGTTCTGGTGTGAGCGACAGCAGAGAGCAACCAGACCATCCTGCGAGGTCAAATACAGAAGGATTTATCCCTTCGACAAACTTTTTGCCCATTTTCTGTGTCTCTTTGGTAAACTTTTAACGGGTTGCCAGGAGGCTGGCCAGGCACAGCTCAGCCAAAAGGGAATTCCAGGCTGCCAGAGCTATCAGACCTCTCCTGCCTCGGCGGCAGTTATTTACACTTTGGTCTCCTAAATAAAAAAATTAAAAGAATCAGTGAAGCTGCATCTTGGTCTCCATCCCCCAAAGCCATCAGGCTGTTCCTTCTCCCCAAAACAACGAACTCCCAAAAGGACCCTTTCACTCCACACACCTTGATCTGTGGCTTAGCAAATAAACAGGACTTACAGTTGTACAGCATCTGGCCAGGAGAAAAATTGTAGGTCTCCCCTCACTCCCCCCCACCCGCCACCCACCCCCTCGTGACATCAAGGCAGAGTCACTGAATAAAGCCTGGGCTTGTGCAGAGCTCAGGGCGTGCGTTCCCTCCTCCTCAGTCATACTGCAGCAGAGAGTAGAAAGGGATGGACTTGAGCTTTTCCGAGCCTTTCAGGAGCTTTAGCTCGATGATCACCAGGCACTCCAGGACTTCAGCCTTCAGCCTCTTCATCAGCTCGCAGGCTGCAGACATCGTACCTGCGCGACACACAGGTGGAGCAGAAACATCGTTGTCACTCGAGGAGCAGTGGCGAGGCAAGCTCCCGACCCCCCGGCCGCTCCTGCTGTCACCGGCGCACGCGTACACGCATTGCACGCGTGCTCTGACACCGTCTCCTTCTCTCACCTCCGGTTGCAAGCAAGTCATCTACGATAACCACTTTCTGTCCCGGTTCCACGGCGTCACTCTGGATTTCAAGTTCAGCCTGCGGGGTGGAAAGAGCAGCTTCATTTTAGTCTTGCCTTACAGAGAAACACTTCAGCAACACCTAACGCCTGGTGGAACGCAGAAGAGTCTTCAGCGAGATCAACCTGAACACTCGGCACCTAAAACCCCCAAAACACGTACTCCAGCTACAGGGGAGCGCCATGGAAATGCAGAGTGGGTTAGGTGATTGCTGGGCCAACCCTCTGGCGTGTCAAGATCTTGAGCATTCATCAAGTGAGTTATGGTCCCGTGGTGAAACCTTATCCCAGAGCAGTTCTCCAGTGGGGAAAATCTCCTGTAATGCGCCGGGCTGGAGCGCTCTGCAAGAGCCAAGCCAGATCCAAACCCTCACAGGCACGTCCTGTGCAAGCTGAACTTGTTCCACGCAGGGGTTGGCCCATGCAATCCTCATAAATAATGCCCAGGTTTGGCGTTTCTGCTGCTGGCCCCTGGCTGCCGTTAGTTACCAGCGGTAGCGTGTTATTGGGCTTGCACCTCTTGCACCAGAGAGGCTGCGGTGTTACGGGGCGAGCGCTGGTTTGAAGCCATGCAGTAAAGGCGTTTTACCTACAGCACTTACTGGAAGATTGGGAAACACGCTCCACGGTCATGCCCCTGAATTCAAGCCAAAGAAGACAATTTAGCACCGCATCTTATCACCTCCCCCAAAAATCACAGCGCGGCTTGCCGACACAAGCCACGCGCCCGTGGCCTGGGGAGGGAGCCGCTGTGCTGGGGCACGATGAAGCTCAGCGCTGCTCCTGAAGCTTGTGCCGTGCCAGGCTGCCCGTGGCATCAGCACTGGCTGCGGAGCCCAGCTCGGGGACCACCCCCGCTGGTTTTATCACCCCATCCCCTCGCTGACACCCCCCTGGCCCTCCATCAGCCGGCCTGGAAACCCTCTTCTCCTCCCTAGTTCTTACCTTGCCATACTCAAGGGCGTAGGAGACTGACTCTATTCAGAACAGAGCCATTCGACTGGGGGTGTCTTTGCACGATACCCCAGGTTTATCCTCCTGTGTTCAGGGGGGTCTCTAACCATCATTTCTACGGGTTGAAAATGCACCCCACGCTCCTGCGCTGCCCGTGTTCGCCAAGACGGGCTGCTGATGGCCTTGGGGGCACCGCATCGACCCCCCCTGGCCTGTTTTGCCTCCCCTCGAGCTCTTCTTTTCAGAGATAAGCTCAGCTAAGCCCCTGTATCAGTTCGGCCACACAGCCAGGGACTTTGCAACACCAGGGGACAGACTTCAGTTATCACGAGGCACTTGGACCAGGCTTAGCCTAGACTCCTTGAACTTTGGGCTATCGCCCAGCCCAAGCGCTGCCTTCCCAGGCATTCTCAGCCTCTTTCATAGGTGTGTTGCAACGCGTTATCACCACAAAGGCTGTTTCTGTTGGCTTGAAAAGGCCTCCTGAGAAGGAAAACACACGGTGGAACAGGGTCTGCCTGCGGTGGGGACCCTGCGAGACCTTACAGGCGTGCCTGCAAGGCTTTACGTCAGACTTTCAGCACTGCCTGACTCGTTTTTTTTTTTAATGATGAAAGCAATGAATTACAAAATTGGCACTGAAGTGCCATCAGACGGCGTCTGCCCCATCCAAAACCAGTATTTCAGGAAACTGCAGTACTGGGTTAAGGGCATAACCTGCCCCGGTGTTACCGCACGACAGAGGCCAACATTCGGGTGACTGTAATGACCAAGGGCTACAGCCTTTCCCGCCCCGTTAGCAGAGGAGTCTCCCCACGCCCAGGCAGCCTGAGGACACGGTTCTCTGCACTGCCCTCAGAGATGTTTCAACCAACGCTCACCTGCAATAAAGTCGATTTGGGGGAAAGACGCCCTCAAATGATCTTCCAGAAGATCAATCAGAGTCCGGAAAGCGGCCGGATCCTTCAGCAAGGGGCTGATATCGCTGCGAAGAGAGGGAGAGCGGTCAGATACCTCCGGGGGCTGGGCTGGCTCCTGCCCCAGCTCCTAAGCCCGGGGGAAGCGGGCGGGGGAAGGGCGGGCAGCGAGGAGAGGAGCCGGC